ATGGTGCATTGTTTGGGATAGAAAGGCTAAAATGTAGAATAGCTCAAGATAAAACAGCCATTTTATAGATCCAGCTTACTTGTACTAACTACGTAAGCAGGTGCACTCTGACTTCAAAGGAAATAACCCTGATGAGCCTTTTTTTAACATGTTTCTAAGGGGGCCGGTGGGTCTGTCCAGGGTGAGAAACATATTTATATAATCCTGCACTGTACCAGCCATGTCCTAAAGGTTAAAGATTAAAATTGAGAGGATTAACTCCATTGCACAGGGTTTAATCTGAAATGATTCATTCTCTCACTGCAGAACAGATAGTCGCCTGCTGAGAGCATCGCATGAACACCATAGCTCAGGTGACGATCTCTAGGTGTCTCCCTTAAATTGCACTCATGAACCGAACGATGCAGCCATGGAACAGACCCTTAACCTTCAGTACATGAGGTATATAGCTTGACCACTTTGCCACAGAGACTTCCTAGACATGTTCTAAGAAGCAACTAAGGAGAGGATTGGACTTAAGGCTGCCCATAGAAATGTTTAGTCACAAAAGCCAGCCAGCTTTAAACAAGTCTGAAATATTGGGTACAGTATTGTTACATAGAATTAAAATAGATTCAAAACAACATGACCTTGGCTTCCAGCTCACTTCAGACTAAAAGGGATACCAGGTAAAATTCCTGGGAAGTAAAGGTGGCTGTAAGGATGTTGACCACATTACCCACTAAGTGCTGATTGGTCTATACTATAATGAGTCTAACATCAAATACCTGATTAGCCACTGGTGTGAAAAGAAAAGGAGGGTGGAAGAAGCGTTGTCCCTTACTTGCTTCAAAGGTAATCAAAGGACAATGAAAATGAAAGGCGGAAGAGGAAGATATCTCATACATGATGATTGCCTAATTTTGTCTGTGCAATTAGGAGCTTCTATCCTACATTCCCATACCCTCAATTCTGAACCCCCCCTCCCCCTCATCTCAGCCACTAGTATAGCGGTTGTCTATAATACCATCAGATGATCAGTGTATTGTCACTTACTCCTGTATTTCCAGCATAATTAATGCTATTGTAGATGGCATGTTCACAAATAGGTTCATGCAACCTAAATGACAGTGCATCAGATTAATTAGTTAGAATTCAAGTATTCCAGAGCATTCCCAATTGACCAACCACACAGTTGTCCAGTTAGTCAACATCTAAGTAACAAACTAGCTGGCCGTCCGTGCAACCAATTATCCAACCAACAAGCAAAAATCAATCCAACTGACCATCCATCCAACCAACCAGTTAGCCAATGAACTATCCAACTAGCCTTTCAACTAACCACCCAACCATCTAAGCAGCCAGCTGACCATTTGACCGACCAACCGACTAGCACACCCACAAAAACCCCATCCAACTAACCATGAAACCAACTAACAAGCCATCCATTCCTCCAACCAACCATCCAACCACCAACCAACCATCCAGTGAACCATATAACCAACCAACTAACCATCCAACCATCAAACCATCCTGTGAACCATACAACCTACCAACAATCCAAGCAACCAGTTAACAAACAGCCAACCAACTATCCAATAAATATCTTAAAAAGAATTGTAAACTAAGGATCCAAGCAGCCTGTCCTCAACCAAACAACAAATCAGCCAGCCAATCAACCATCTTACAACCAAAAGAACGCCACACAATAATCAGCTTCCATGTTTATGTTTTAATAATAGATCAACATCACGGCACAAGGGTAGTTACCCATAAGTGCCCTGTTCTACTTTTAACTCAAACCTGAGTCCAAAGAAGCTCAACACAGTGCACAGGCTCTGTAGCACCGGCGAGGATCCTGAAATACAGGGCTGTTAGGCTACTATTTTCGATTTCCAACTGCCAAGTATTTGTTTTTCGTGTGCAACAATACACACGGGCGTCTGATCTTACTACCCAGAGACCAGGGGAAATTACTAGAAGTCCACATGCAAAAATTGCAGCCTTCACTGGGACTAGAACCCGGGACTTCCAGCACTCGAGGTGGATGCCACTCTCATCCAACCAACAGTCAAACAATATAAATGTTCTATTTGATTTATCCAGTAGAAAACAACTTATAATGTGTTGTCCATTTATACAGAACTGGAGTACGTAAATACCCACCACATCAAGTGGAAGTTGAGGCCATTCAGCACCAGACAACGCAGATCCTTCACAAAGTCTACTTCCCTAATGATACAGATGAGGTAAGGCACTCTTGGGATGATACCATAAAATATCCATGAAAATATTTCAGTCCCCCTCCCCCAAAAAAAGTACAGCTAGTCAGTTTTACACGATCACAATCACAAACAACATGTGCATGTGGCAAGAAAGCTTTCATCAGCATATAAAACAAGTAGACAGAGATATAGTTATAGAGAAGTACTCACAAAATCACTTTTGTCATAGAAATACCCACAACATATCTGGACTGTGAAACTGTGTCACGTGCGATACTAGAAGAGGGTTCTGGACTGAAAGAGAGACAGGTTATGGCAGGGGTAGTAATGTGAAAATTTTTAGATAAAGCTGTGTTGGAAGTTAGGACCCTTATTTTAAACAGCCCATTAGATCAGTAAGAAGGTTCTCAAGAGAGATTTACAGACTCTTTCATTGGAGGAAATTTCGAACACTATTATTGTAATTATTGGAGAAACCCAACAGTAAATAGTATTTGTTAGCTTTATAAAGAAAGAAATAATGGAAGCAAAATAAAACATTATGGCAAATTTACATTTCTTGCGAAATGTATCCACATTGATGCTTTAGTCTTGGGTTTAATACTGTATGCCCTCTGCCACCCAATTATTGACTGATAAGAAAAGATCCCTTTTCATGCCTTAGGTGTATCTGGCATATGGGAAGAGCATCCCATATTTTTACAGACCAGTCGGCACTAGGTGGGTAATGTGGTCAGCATTATGCCAGCCGTCTTTACTTCCCCAGGACAGCCATCCTGGTACCCATTTTAGAATGGGTCGTCCTGCGACACCCTATACCATGATAAAAATCCATACAGCCAGCAGTGGGTTTCGATCCTGGTACACTGGAATTACGAGTTGAACTCGCAACGCCTACGCCACGGACACCATGATTATAGACTGATAATGGTTATTTATTTGTAACACTCATTTTCTGATCGCTATTTTAGACAAAAGAAAGAATAGTTTATGCAATATGTGCTTGACAATTAAGGGAATTCTTAAGAGCAACGTAGTTCTAATCCTGATAAATGGAAATAAATCATGGACGGTTAACCGATTAGTGAAATATTATTTGGAAGCTGAAGTTGTAGTTTTATAGATGAATGATGAGAACACCGTGGTCATATAAAAAGAGCAATGAAGATGTCAGATATGCACAGTGAATAATAACACATATAAATTAAATTTACAGTTTTTTTTATTACTTCCCTTGCGCTCTCATCCCCATGACAGCGATTATAATTACAACATAAAATTTGCTGAGATATTTATTGAGGTAACAAAAACATATTATTTAAAATTTTTGTTTTGGTCATTGTGACATCACAATAAATTTAGGATAACACTTTGCAATCTCTGGATGTGTCAACCACTGTTTTCTTGGTTATATAGAAAGAAAGCAGTTATTTCTTTTTTTTTTTTTTTTTTTGGCATTTAGTAATTACTTCCCTTCATATAAAAAAAAATAACTTTTGCACGCACGCACGCACACACACACACACACACACACACACACACACACACACACACACACACACACACACACACACACACAAAATGACTATAAATATGAAAAATGCATCTTTTAAGTGTTGTCATGATAGCAGGCTTGCCTGTCTTCTTAGTGGTCATGGGTTTCAGCATCCTGGATTTTTATAAAAACTGACCAAGGCTTCCGAGTTCTTCTGTTTCTTCTTCTCCTTATCTATTTTCTTAGTGTAGAGGTTCATAGATTTATATTGTCTCTTTTTAATAAAAATTTTGAAAAAAAAAAAAGTCATTTTTTAAGGTATTTGTGGTGTGAAAGGGTTAATTCTTTATTAACAATTGATCATTCTACTTGTTTGTTCACATAGGGTTTTGAAGTAGAATCCAGCACCAGAGCCAAGGATTTCTGCCAGAACATAGCCAAAAAGCTTGGCTTACATTCTGCAGAAGGATTCAGTTTGTTTGTGAAGATTTCTGACAAAGGTACCTGCATATTTCAGTTATCTCTTTCAGTGCCAGAACATTTTGTTGCAGATTCATATGGGGTTCACACACACAGTCAAAATTAATTGGTCTATAACTTCCAAAGAGTTAGCATTTATAGAACTACATGTTACATTGTTTGGCCAGGATTCTTTGGTATGCTCAGTCCAAATGTAAACCATGTAGTAACACACCATGCGTCTGTTAAGACGTTAGGACAGTAGCCAAACAGGCACAGTGCATTGCTTTGGACAAAGAGAGCCGAATCTCATGAAGCAGTGCCAGCCATAAATGTTAATTTGTGTTTATGTTACACAGAATGTCATAATGGGCACTAACGTCATAAGCAAGAATGCATCTTAGTTAGTTGACAGGTTATCCTCACTGCAAGTTGGACCAATCCATAAATGCTCAGATCCCATCTTCATTATATCCCTCAGCATGTGGCTACTGATAACACCAGTTCTATGTTGGTTTACTATTCATCTTTTGTAGTGTTTGTTCATGTTTGGTGACACCTCTTTTGACCTGAAGTTCTTGTAGTCTTTTGAATGTTGCCGATTCAACATCATCTCCTGAATCATCTTCTTGTCATGCCTTCATGTGTCTCAAACTGTGAAAAAAAGTTCCTTTTTTTTATTTTTTGAGTTGAAAAAACATCAGTAATAGCATTTTCCCATTTGGGTTACAGAGCCCTATTCTTTTTTTTTTGGGGGGTGGGGGGGGGGGGGGGGGGGGGGGGGGGGCATTTATAGACCTATGGCCTGACTAGCAAGCATGTGGTAAAAGGCTACTAATGAGGGGTATACCTTTGAGGTCAGAGTGCACCTGTTTGAGAGGTGAAGAACCAACAGTCTGCAGACAAATAAACCAGACTAGTAAAACAGATGTGCATACAATTCAAGTTCTTGAGCAAGACCAAATTTAGATATGGATGAACAACCAGAACTTTCCATTAGAGTTTAGAAGTGATTGAACAGCCAGAACTTTCTCTCATATTTTAAAGCCAGCGAACAGTGGAAAAAAAAAAAGAAGAGTGAAGGATAATTTTAGGGACTTTGTTTTTAATTCACCTCAAACACAGGAAATCTCAAAGTTCTAGGGAAAGTCAAATATTCTAAGCTTTGGGGTAAAGGTCAGGTTCTTTGTCAGCCTTGACAACTTTAGAGATACTGACTAACCCTAACCCTAACTGTAACTCTAACTGTAACCCTAACTGTAACCCTAACACTAACTCCTAACCCTAACCTCAACAGATAACATCCCTAGAATATTGGACTTCTCCGGGAACTCCAGTATTTTCTTTGTTTGGGGGGAATAGAAAATAATGTACCCAGTTTTATTCTCAGGCTGAGCATCAGTGTTTTATAAAAACATTAAATATTCCTATCCAATTATGTGAAATTTAAAAAACAAAACAAAAAAACATAATGTTTGTCTGATTTAGAAAGAAAGTTTTAAGCAACTATTGTTTAAGATTTAGCACTTATGAAAGAAGAAAAAAACTGATTTGACAGAATTAGTAACCTTCACAATAGTTACCTGTTAGAGAGCTTCTGGTCTGAATCCAAGCAGGGATGGCTTTTTTAAATAATTGATCTTGGCTAGCAGGTCACTTCAGCTTTAAATGGGATAAACATGTCCAGGCAACTAAAGAAGGCCCAATGTGCCACTGGATAAAAGGGTTCTTTACTTTACTTGACTACTCATGTGGGAGTCGCTGTGTCTGAGCAGCGGCTAGACACTCGCCTGTGGATCAGAAGGTTATGGGTTTGCTCCCTGGTGGAGCCGGACTTTAAAAAAATTGACCTTGGCTCTCAGGTTGACCCAGCCTTGAGTGGGTACCGGGTGCAGTCCTGGAAAGTAAAGACGGCTGGCGCAATGCTGACCACATCACCAATCTTGTGCTGATTGGTCTATAAAATATAGGTTTAGCTCTTTCTGCCCTATACGCCTAAAGACTTGGAAAAGGGTCCTTCACTTTTTTTTAAAACTTTTTTACTACTCATGTACTTGTTTGAAAAAAAAAAGCATGTTTTTGCTGACAGACGCTTTTTGTTTTGTTAAGTAATAAGTGTCCCAGAGGGCGATTTCTTCTTTGACTTTGTTCGACACCTCACAGACTGGATTCGTAAAGCCAGGACATCAAAGGAAGGTAGGATTCAGAGGTTCATGTAGTTTTTACTCTGTTTTCTTCATAGTCATTAAAATGTTTGCTTTGTCAGTTTTGCTGAATACACTGAGTTTGTGACTTTCATATCCGATTTTGTATGAGATAACTTTCCCATATTGGTTCCGGGGCCCCATTGTGGGGAAAACCAGAACAGACTCACTGCCTCCCCAACGAGCATATCATAACTCGGGCCCTAGCACAAAGCCAAAGTCCAAATGGATGAACAGCCAGGACTTTCCACTGAAGCTTACAGGTGGTGAACAAAGAAGAAGAGAAGGATGAGACAACTATATACAATGATGGGTGTGACAGTTGTTAGAGATGGAGAGAACAAGTTCAAATAATGTCACTCTCAAACTTTAATTCTTTAGGGCATTCATTTGTGAACCCCCCCCCCCCCCCCCTTTTTTTTTCCACTTCTTCTGTGAGTTTGTGGAATAAATGTATGGTTTCCATGTTACCATTTACAAAAAATATCCTCAGTTTTAATGCAGTCCGTTGTTTTTTTCAGTTGTAATATTTATAAATTCTAAAATATCATGAAAAGATATCAAACCAGATGAAAAGTAGAACTAGTCAGCTTTACATTGTCACACTTATTAAGGACTAGTAAACTCTGACTTTGAAGGAAGCTCCCAATTAGTCGACTTCTCCGACATGCTTTTAGGTAGGCAGTGGGTCTATTCTTGTTTTCCCTATAACAGGGACCCAGGACCCACACGGGGAGGCTTGTTCCAGAACATGCACATCTGTATTATAGGTCATGGTGGTGTTTGTTGTGTACTTCCATTCAGTAGTGTTATATATAGTGCTTTGAGGGTGGCATGGCTATCACAGGCCGTGGTGATGAAGAGTATGTTCTATTGCAACCTCAGTGAAGACACAGCTGTGTGGTACATAGAGAGTTGTGCACTGCATGATAGCTTTTATAGATGCTTCTGTCTTCCTGCTGTAGATTGTCTGACAGAAGGATCAAAGAAGAAAGAGAAGGAATCAGCTCTTAGCCTGTCTACATTCATTTTCTCTTTTATCCATATTCCCTTCCTGAACTTCTCCCTCCATGCAACATGATCTGTGATATCTTGTTCCCTGGAATTTACATCAGTACCTGAATCAATCATGATTATGTAATTATGTGTAGGTTGGTAATATTTCCTAAACATTTTGTGTGTGTGGGTGTTTTCTTTTTTAAATAATAATCAGCTGACTGAAACACAGTCACCAGTGGAAAGTTCTTTGAAGTTCTAAATTATTTCTTAATTTAAAATTTTGTTTTTGTGTGTGTGTGTGTGTTTAAAAAAAAAATCTTAATATCCATCTGCCATTGCAGGTGCTGCTCCATCGTTTACCTACCAGGTTTTCTTCATGAAAAAATTGTGGACCAACACAATTCCAGGAAAAGATATCCAGGCGGATATCATCTTCCATTACCATCAGGTAGGTGTTTCTTTGCAAAACAGTTGGTAGCAGTAACAAATAATGCCCCACCATCATCAGGTATCGAACATACAAAAAACATAAAAAATACGAGTCTAACATCATATGTTTAATGCTGCTGGCAAACGAGGCTAAATTGAAGTGGATTTGTATTTTACAAATTAACCTTGGTTCCCATGTTGATGTAACCTAAAATTGGTACCAGTTAAAGTCCTAGAAAGCAAAGGTTGCCAGTGTGATGTTGATCACATCACAATTCTAGTGCTCACTGGTTTATGAAAATTGAAGTCTAGCACTAAATACCCAATGCATCAATGGCATAAAAAGCATCTTTCACTTGAATTACTTATCAGCTCATCAGGAGCCAGTGAATACCACTTAATGTGCTTATCAGGGTATTGTCGGGGAAGGATACGCTACAATAGAGGGAACTGGCCACACCTTTTTCATATGTTATGGCCTAGAATATGTGAGTGCCTAACCCCAGCTACACACATTTGCACTACTTTTCATGGCTCAGTGCATGTAGTCTTGTCAAGGCATATTAAAAAGTAATTATTGATCTTGAACATTACCAATAACATCAAGAACAATTGATTGCTGGTAGAAACTTTAATGGCTCAAACATGTTTTTCCTGGTCAGAGTACTGGTGTCTCAAAATGAATTTGAACCCCACCAGGACATCACACCGAGCGATAAACACCTGGTGACACAAAAAGTGCCACCATTGAGATGAGGATCACCTGGAGACAGGTCCCAGAAACCCTGTTCAACCCATAGGTTGGGTTATATTAGGGCCCCCGGCAACAGCCAGGGTGAGGCTTTAAAACACACACCAAAATTATGTCCCAGACTGGAATGGTTAATTATGACATTGGTGTATAGATACAACAGGCTCCTTAAGTTAGAACAAATATTTGCTTCTCTACCTGGACCTAGTTCCAACATACAACTAGGCTAAATGTTCACATTGTCAAGACTGAATTCAAATAGGCTTCCAAGCCGAGCAGACGATTTCACCTGTTCATTTTGCAGACGCTACCAGCATACCCAGCTTTTCTCAAGAAAGGTCGGCACCTTGTCCATGCATTCACTTGTCTCATTGATACATTCAGTTCACATCCACACTCAAGCATCATAGGACTGGACTCTCGCAAGACTGAAACAAGAGCTCTCTTACTTGCTCCATGTTTAAATAATCTTTTCTGCTTCTCAGACATTCTGAAATTCATTCAAGCTTTCACAATTTCCTTACGTGGCACACATCATCCTAACTTCACATTTGTCTTGAGTTAGTATCGCCCAGTGAATACTTCAACACGTGTACATTATTATTAGTAGTTGCACATAATTGTAAGATAAGTGGCAGAGATCTTAATTTTTAATAGCAATGAGAAAACGTTTCCTTACAAACACTTTACCCCTCCAATGGTAGAATCTGCCTTGGGACTACTTTATTAGGGATTAGGGAATGAGTTTAACAGTTTCAAGATCATTGAGTTCACTGTCATGGTGGATGGTTTATGTGTTAGAAAATTCTTTTCTTGATTTTTACATGGTAGAACAAGGGTCACAGTCTGAAACAGACTATGGCCTTTCTTTTTTACATATTTTGCTTTGTAACGCTAGGTATTGCAGGTTAACAGATAATCAGTATCCAAACCAGAGCACACTCGGTTGCTCAGTATACTTTGATGTTGTGGAGTCTCAAGGTTTCAGTGATTCCGTCAGTCCATCTTCTTGTTTGTCATCCCCTACTTCATTTTGTTTATAATTTCATGTTGTACTCTCTCGTTGCTGGCATCATTTGATTAATTAGGACCTCATCACATGATATTCTCCCAAAACAGCAGTGTGTATAGTGTGACTAGCTTTCATTGTTGAGTTCTCACTGAATTAATTGTTTTTTTTCAAATGATTACTAATTTGTGAATATGTATAAATGAAATATACACCTGCAAACTCTTGGTGTCATCAACTGGAAATGAATTTTGAATGTTGAATTAAGAATCAACATCTCAGCACTCTCATAATACTCCCATAAGTGCTCAGTCCTCATCTTCAGTAGCAAGTGAAGAGTTCCAATTCCGATCGTATAACCGTTTGATTGTAATCCCAGACGCTCCACTTTTTTTGCCGGGCTCTCCAGGCTCCAGCTGTGCAATTTCTATGCTGTCTTCCCTCTCCATTTCCTCGTCTTCTCCTCTTCCCACTCTCTCTGTTGCCACCTGAAGATGGTACCAACTGGAAAGACAATGCCAACCAGAGAGATGAGTGGAGGCGGGTGATATCTGCAGCAATGAACCTCAAGCGGTTGGAGTGCTGAAGAAGAAGAAGAAGATCTATGAAATGTTGGGTTTTTAAGAGTTGCCCAAGTATCTCAGAGGTTACCACAGTACAGTGTGAGTAGCCTTTATTGTTGAGATCTCACTGAACTAATTTTCTTTCTTTTTTTCAAATGGTTACTAATTTTTGTGTTTGTTTATATTATTTTTTTTTTGGTAGGAGTTGCCCAAGTACCTCAGAGGTTACCACAGGTGCAGTAAGGAGGAAGCTGCACAATTGGCAGCCCTCATATACAGGGTCATGTTTGGAGAGGATAAAAATAACCTGAACAAAATACCGTAAGATGACGTTTGTATCTATGGACTTGAACAGAATTGCATGTTGTACACTAAACTAAAATAAATGACCATTTTCATGACATTGGTACACCAGGCAAATGGGGCTAGACCTATATTATTGTGGACTTATTGGCATTCTTGATATCAATATCTTGAGGTCATGGAGATGTGGTTTTACAGAAGAATCCTTAGAATTCCTTGGACAGCTAAGAAGAGCAACCCAATTGTTTTTATTGAGGTGAATGCTTGGAGACAACTTATCACAAATATTAGAAAGAGACAGTCATACATTTTTTGTTATGTTATGAGAAGAGGGAAGATGGAACATGTTGTGATCACTGAAAAGATCTGTGGAAAGCGAGACAGAGGAAGACAGCGTGTGAAGACTCTTGACAGTCTTTTGCCATGACATGAAGGGGTGTCAACACACACACTGATAAACGCACTTGCAGATCGCCCAATCCAGTCAGCAAGGCACTTGATGATGACTTGACATTCAGTGGGTTATGTGGTTGACATCATACTATAGATTATTATTATAATATATGCATTGCATCTTCACCAGGCAGAGGAGATATCTCACCTGTGGGAGGAGGTAACAAATAAAGTGAAAAATATTGAAACCCCATACCTGAATAGAATGATACATCAGAATGTTGAATGTTGAATTAAAAAATGACATCACAGCACTCAGGACACTCCCATAAATGCTCATTTCCCATCTTCAGCAGCAAGCGAAGAGTTCCAATTCTGATAATACCAGTAACCGTCTGATTGTATATCCATCTCATCCTTCCCCTGAGTGTTGAGCGTCAGCCAGATCCTCTGGTAACTCCTGACAGCGCCATTCTTCTTAGACTGTAATAATCTATCTGTGCAGAACACTAAGTACATGTGATGACAACAACGGTCCTGAAATCCTGTGCTCTAATTGTGGTAGACCTCTCTTAACACAGGCGGGTCTTGCTAGTCACACTCACCATTGCCATGCTCTGTGCCTGGGTTTCCATGCCTCCCCATGTCTAGGGTGACCATAAGTCACATTTTCACCTGGGCTGTATCATTTTTGTTTTGTTTGACCCAGACTGTCCCATCAATACTCAGTGTCAATTGGGACAATGGGCGTTTTGTTTTCTTTAGCCTTGACCGTCTGTCCAGACCTATCTAAAATCAATTCTGTCCCGATGATACGGTCACCCTACCCAAGTCAGCATGTTGCTTAATATTTTTTAAATTTCCATCAGCAAATCTTTCTTCATTCCCAGTTTTCAGGAGTTTATTTATTTGGAAATGTTGATGAAACTTTATAGTGACTAGTGCAAAGGCAAATGGCAGCAAGAGTGATATTTAAAACCTCACCTATCAGCTGATTCTTCTTCTTCTTCTTCTTCTTGATCGTTTTCACCAGCTGGGAACTCTGGCAAAAAGCTGTGTTGTTCATTCCTACTGTATTTTGGTCTTGTTCCAGAACTTGAGTTTTGTGTGAACATCTATTTTGCAGATACAGTTTTTTTTTTTTTTTTTTTTCAATTTTTAATGCAGGCTATTGGTTCCTCACCTTTCAGGCAGATGCACTTTGGGTGGGAAGGAAACATCTTTAATTAGTCAACTTTTATGACATGCTTGTTAGAGGGCAAAGGGTCTATTCTTTTCCTTCCCAAAGGGGGGCTCTGGAACCCACATGGGGGTCATCAGATGTCAGTTGAGCACCCTTACCCAATATCTGTAGAGGCATGGGAGCAGATCTGTTTCTAACCTCATCTTTGTAATGCTGGTTACAGTAACAAGCTGAGAATTGTTTATCATTGTTTACCACTCACTGTTCATTGCTGCAAATTATTCAGTCTTGTTATTACTGTGTTGAGAGGCAGATGAAGTGCATGAGGGTTCATTGCAAAAATGAACGTCGCTTGGTGCAGCAAAGCCTGGCATATGATATCACAACGTCTAGTTTGAGAATGAAGTTGGGGGGGGGGGGCAGTCACAGCTGCCTTCCGCTGATTTGAGAGTCAGCTGTACACACATGTTGTAATTGTATCTGACTTACAGAGCATGTTGAGACATACATGCTCCGTGCAGAGTGGCAAGCATTGCCTTAGAGGTCCCATGTAATTAGCGTCCTTTGGATATTTTCTCCAGGCCATGCTGGTGTGTTGGGAAACAAGCAGGTAGATAGACTGTCCAGTGTTGCAGCACTTGGTGGTGAATTGATGAATGAAATGCTAGCTGTTGTGAGGGCCCTTTGGAATTGAGTGAACAGTGAAGAGGCATAAATAGAACATCACAGTCTGAGAAGAATCATGCTGCAAGGAGTGACCAGGGGATCTGGCCAATGCTCAGCACTCCAGGAAAAGGCGAGACGGATATACAGTCAGACAGTTACTGGTGCTATCTGAACTGAAGCTCTTGGCTTGCTGCTGAAGATGGGGATGGAGCACTTATGGGTTTGTCCCAAGTGGCTTTGATGTAGATTCTTAATTCAACTTTCAAAATTTAACATCTCTGTTTATTGCTGCCTGTTTATCACAGCCTGTTTATAACTATATACTTATCGCCCTGTGTCTGCCAAACAGGGAAATGCTGAATCGTCTGATCCCAAGTGATTTAGTGAGGGCTCTCTCAGCAGATGAGTGGAAGAGGGTAAGAGAATTTCATTTCTTCTGTGTAGTCAGTTACCTGTTTTCACTGCCAGTCACTACCTTTATGATACCACATTCGCGGTGTAGGCAGGGGGTCTTTGAGCCTGGGGATTTACGGCCGCAAGACTAGTGCTATCGCTACGACTGTGCAGGTGAAGATTTCATTTTGCCGCCAACAGAAAAAAATCCCCAGCCCTACCGATAATTCAAATCCGGGTCTCCTGCTTGAGAACCCAGCATTCTACCTGTTCGACCAGCCACTCCTCCCCTGTTTTCACTAAATTGGGCATATTTGGTATAAGTTACCAGCTTATTGGTTGGACCAGTGATTCAAAGACTGTGCACCGTGGCGCCTTGGGGGCCGCAACCTCTCCACAAAATTGAAGAAGGGGTGGCAACTAAGAAAAGTTTGGGAAACACTGGGTTAGACTAAGCAGGTACAGTTGGTGAAGTGATCAGTTAACCCTGAGAGCTATGCCAGCAGCAGGGTCTCCAAAGCCGGACAGGTCAAAGGGTACAGAACTGGCATACAGAGGCACTCTGGGCCTACAGTTTGGAGGTTAAGGTGTGTAGACAACACTCCCACATTTGTAAAACCTCTTTTCATTGTGAAACAAATATCTAAGCCTCAAAGTCAGACATATTTAAATGGACATCCCTGGAATATGAAAGGACTTGAGAAAAGTGGCCACTGGAGAAGCCAGATTTCTTCATAAACTCTAACCATACGTCACAAGGGAACAGCACATCACATATTACTATGATTCAGTGGAAAGACACATATACGCATCCCACATTACTTTGTACTGAAAGTGTTAAAAAAACATTAAATTTTACAGTTATATAATGTATTACACATCTTTATCTCTCCAGGCCATTATCACTGCCTATAACAGGGATGCTGGGAAAAGCCCAGCTGAAGCTAAAGTTGGCTTTCTAAAGATTATCCACAACTGGCCAACATTTGGATCAGCATTTTTTGACGTCAAGGTACGTCTGTGCATAGTTAGCGCAGTGACACCTCTTCAGGAAGATTTAGTTTCAGCTCTTAGGTTCAGTGAGCTTTCAATCTAATGTGACAGTCAGACCGGCAAATCGGTTAAAGCTTTGGAATGTTTTTGTTTTTGTTTGTAGCCACAGTTTACTAATGCAGTGTCCATATGTCTACTGGGAGAAATATTATATATATAATAAACAGACAGTGTATTGATTGGCACTTATAGAAAGAAGTGGAAATGTAGAAAGACGCACTAGACAGCATAGAAATCTAAATCTAAAATAACCATGCCGGAAATTTCTACGACCTCAAGGAATGATGTGAATGATGTGTACACAGGGGAACCTATCAATCAAATCTCTTTCTTAATAAATGTTTGTGCATTCTAGATGATGCATTAAAGTCTGCTGTGTTGGTAAATTGTTGCTGTGTTATTCGACCTATGTTTGGTTAATAAAAAATGTTCTTAAATTCTTAACATTCTGACATGCAATACTGGCTTTATGTATTCTGTATGGTATTCCCATTTTAACCTTTACGGAGATCCTTAAATTGTGTGTTAGGTAACTCACCATCCGTTGGTGGTCGCTGAAAAAAGCTTAGTTTTAGATGACTTTCTTCTGTGGCTGATATTTGTTACATTGAAGAATGTTGAATTAAGAATCGACATCACATCACACGGGACATTCCCATGAGTTCTCAGTCCCCATCTTCAGCAGCAAGCGAAGAGTTCCAATTCTTATGGTACCACTAAACGTCTGATTGTATATCCATCTCATCCTTTCCCTGAGTGTTGAGCGTTGGCCAGATCTCCTGGTAATTCCTGGCAGCTCCATTCTCTTTAGACCGTAATGATCTATCTGTGCCTCCACACTGTTCACTCGCTCCCAAAGGGCCCTCACAATATCCAACTTGTCATACATCAATTCATCACCAAGTGGTGCAGAGCCACTTTTGTTACATTAACTTCCTGTTAATCAGCCGTACTGTAATAAAGTATCAACATTTTTATGTAGCTTAAGTGGATCTGCTACAGAGACTGCCATTCCAGCATATGACTTTACAGTCAGATCAGATTCTGTTCCAAAAACCAGTGGCACAGCTCTGTAGTCTCTAAGGAGTGGTGCTTGCCTATAAGTAACTCCCCAGTGGCACAGCTCTGTAGTCTCTAAGGAGTGGTGCTTGCCTATAAGTAACTCCCCAGTGGCACAGCTCTGTAGTCTCTAAGGAGTGGTGCTTGCCTATAAGTAACTCCCCAGTGGCACAGCTCTGTAGTCTCTAAGGAGTGGTGCTTGTCTATAAGTAACTCCCCATGTGGGATCTGGGGCCTGGCGCTTGCTTATGAGTAACTTCCCATGTGGGTTCTGGGGCCCATTTGGAGTGAGGGGGGAGGGGGAGAATAGACCACCCCCACAAGCTTGTTGTAAAGTAAAGGACCTTTTTCCATGCCCTTAGGCATATAGGGCTAGACCTAAATTTTATAGACAACAAAATGGCTGTGTTTTCTTTGAAGGAAGACTGCATCTGTTGAGAGGCAAGGAACCAGCAGTCTGCAGATAAAAATGCTAGATCTCTAAAATGGATGTGCATGCAAAACTCAATTTCTGGAATAAGATCAAAGCCCAGAAGTGGACCAACAACCAGAGTTTACAGCATGTGACAGCAAAGAAGAAGTTACATTAACCCATTCTACTTAAATTGTTCATTTAACTTTTATTTTCCATGTAGCTTTATATTTGAACGCCTTCAGGCCCAACCATTGAATGATTTAAATTAAAACTTATAGGGATAAAAGAGTCAAAAGATATCACGTGTTGGTACTAAAAAAGCTTAGAGGTAATAATGTCACGATTGAGCACAAAACAAATAGACTGGCTAAGAACTGACCTACAGTTTTTTAAACAAGGGTTTCTGCTGTTGAGCTAGTGTCAGAAAACAGATTGACTGAACCTAGACTAGGAAGCTCAGTTTGGGCAGAAGGGGGAACAGACACAAAAACAATCAAGATTTTTAACAGAAGCCTTTAATGAGCGGAGTGGCTAGAGGCTCGCCTGTGGATCGGAAGGTCATGGATTCAAGTCCTGGCGGTATCAGACTTTTTTTTTTTAATGACTTTGGCTTGCAGGTTGACCCAGATTTAGGTGGGTACCAGGTGCAGTCCTGGGTAGTAAAAACGACAGATGTGATGCTGACCACATCACCCATTAAGTGCGATTGGTCTCTAAAAATTTAGGTCTGGCCGTAAATGCCCAGTACGGGTGAAGGCGTTGAAAAGGGTCCTTTAATGAGCACTACAGCAAGAAAGACTCTACTAGGATTCTTTTCCTTGTTGAAGTGCTTATATAGGAGGTGTTAACATATCTTAAGAGAGAATTATGGTTTCCCAGACCACTTTAAATATCTCCAAAGATAGGTGACACCGTATAATTACTAAAATTATTTGAATGGTACACAATACCAGTAGCGTACTTATGCATTAAATGCATAAGGCAGCCATCAGAAGTGCCGACTAAAACATTCTGGCAGTTTATAAACAGATTGTAAAGCATCTATATCGAGTAGAAATGTGTTTCTTCTTCTTCTTCTTCTTGTTCACCGGCTGTGAATTCCGGCGGTAAGTCACGGTTGTTCGTCCAAAATGGACTTTTGGCTTTTACCTTGACCTGAGTTTTGCGTGTACATCCGTTTTACTGGCTTATTTGTTTGCAGTTCTCATTCCCCGCCTCTCCGGCAGATGTACTCCGACTTCGGAGGAAGAAATGTGTTTAAAGATGAGATGTTTACGTCAAAGCTGTGATAATTATGCTTTCTGGCTGAAACATAGGGCATTTATTTTCCAGGAACTTTATCTCACATTGTTTGGTCACTCCCTGCAGAGCAACTAGTCAACCCCCCAGAACATGACAAAAGTCATGAACTTTATAGTTTCAACAAGAACCCAATGTGAATCTCTAATAAACCAACACTAGTGAATCAGATGATGCAGTCCAAGACCAAACCTTCAGAGCATGAGGAAACTGCCCAAACTACTTCAGAGACCTCCCATTTAGAAATCATTTAGAAAGTTGCTGAATAGAAAACTTCTCCTTCTTCTTTACATCCTCTTTTACCATTTTGGGTGTCGAGGGAGATATAAGGTCCAGCTTTGCGCTCTTCTGGCTGCTTCAACCATAGACACAACATGGTGTTGTAGAGTTTTTCTGATGTTATCTTTCCACATTGTTCTTGGTCTACCTTTTGCTCTACATCCTTTTTCCTCTTTTGGTATATGTCCTGTATGGTATAGCATCAGAAGGCATTCTCTCCAAGTGGGCAAACCATTTGATTTGCTGTCTTTCTGTATAATTTAGAATTGGCTCTGTGCCAACTTTATCTCGTATGACTTCATTCCTGATTTTTATCTCTTCTGGTCACTCCTACAGTCTTTCTTAGACATCTCATTTCAATGGTTACTAATTTTCTTTTATGTTTTGTTGTGAGTGACTACGTCTGGCACTGGTACCATAGGGCGGGAATGAAAATGCTTTGTATGAGATGTTTCTTTGTGCCGATTGGGATTGCATAATGCTGTAAGAAGGGGGCTAGCTATCCCAGTGCTTGGCCGGCTTTACTGCATTGGATGTGTATTTCTTCTTCCAATTTACCATCTTCAGTGAATTTTGCTCAAAGATATTAAAACTCAGATGGCTGTCTAATGTATGTATGCTTTAATGCTATGTTTAAATCCTGCTTCTTTCTTGTATGTACTCATGTATAAACATATTTATTTTTATATCTCATCATAGCAAACTACGGAGCCAAACTACCCTGAGAATTTACTGATAGCCATCAATAAGAATGGTGTGAGCCTCATTCACCCCCAGACCAAGGTAACTAATTGGTGTTAACTTTTAACTCTTTCTGTTGAAGAGAGTTGTCCCACTCTGTTTTAAGTTATTCAGACATGAGACCACCTTATCCAGATCATAGTAATCCAGTATCTTTGAATTATGGCCCTTGTTGCTGATGGGATTTTTCTGGCCATTTTTTAAATGTTACGGTGGCCACAGACATGTCAGATATTCTACTGCCTTCACTATAATGTGATTTCTTTTGAAGATGTGTCATTTAAGTGATTTCTTGTATTATTGTTTGTGTTTGTACTGTTTTAGATTTTCTTGTAACCCCTTGCAGCGCCATTCTCCTTAGACCGTAATGATCTATCTGTTCCTCGGCACTGTTCACTTGCCCCCAAAGGGCCCTCAGAACATCCAGCTTGTCATACAATAGTTCACCACCAATTGGTGCAGAACTGACCAGTCTATCTGCCTGCTCATATCCCAATACACCAGCCTGACCTGAAGAAAATATCCAAAGGATGCTGACTACCCGGGACCTTTGAAATGATGCTTGCCACTGTACGGAGCATGCCTATATAACATTGTTTACTACAAAGTGACAACTCTATGGGTCAATCAGTTAGTAAACTGATGTGACTGAAGTAATCAGTAAATGCATGGTGTATTGCTTTGTGATGAATAAGTTCAGAAAACTATGGTACAAGACATGAACAGTAAATAAACTGTGTTAAATCAAAGAGAATTTATGAAAGATATAGCAGTGTTGCATTGGTTGATTGCTTACTTAGTCAACAGATCATCATTATTGCATATGGAACGATTCAGTCCGTAGGTGTTTGGACAATTCCCCCCCCCCCCCCTTTTCCACTCCCCCCCCCCTTTTCCCTGTCTTATGTAATATCCTTCATTGTGTAAGTACTGATAACTCTACTTATTTATGTGTCAGTTCACTATTTTATCTTTAGCCCCCAGGTTAGTATTCTTGACTGGCCTCACCTATTTTAACTTAATGTGTTTGCCCTCTGGTTAAAATTGTCAATTTGGTCATTATTTGATTAATCACAGCATATTTCAATATGAGATATATAAAATAATAAAATAGCTGGACACCTACAGTGTAAATGTTTATGATAATCTTGTTGCTGTAACCTTTT